GCCTTATCACCCACAGCGTCCTCTTTAAAAATGTGTCAATCCTGTTGTCGTCGTTGTGTCCTTGTGTTTTTGCAGTGTTCACCGGGGAGACTTGAAGTCTCTCCCCTCATGAAACAAGTTAATTCGCTTTACAACTACTTTTGCAATGTTGCAAAATGGTTCAGAGCACAAGCTCTAACGCTTTAGTCTGCTTTCAGGTGGAGTGGGTTTCAATACTTATAACTCTCTTATAACTCTTTAATTGACTAATGGAATCTTTGTCACACTTGTATGTACAGCGTACAGAGTACACAGCGAACAAAAATTGTAATAGTCTTGGGCTTTGATCCATAGCCAGTAGAGTTAAAGGTAAAGACCAGTTATGGTCATGCGATTGCATTGTGAAAGAAACGTTGTGGAATCGATCAGAAAAGGTTGATCATCTAGCATCTAGCATCTAGCATCTGTAAGGTTCTGGAATCATCAAAATGATAAGAAATTTGGCCCATTCTTCGTAAAGTTACAAGCACTATACACAGAAAGATGTATATGGGACTACCCTATACCTCTCACAGACCATGAGAGAAACAAATTTACCAAATATATCAATTAGTAGGCGGTTTCCCGGCAAATTTTTTATCATCATGTATTAGTCAAAACATATTCTTTCACATGATTGGTAATGAGAGCTTCCATTTCATTTTTTGAAATTGGGGCGTTTCCAATACTGGTCTTTACCTTTAATAACAAGTTGCTTATCGAAAATTAGTTTTCTTTCAGAAGCAACGTACACTGGTCAGAAGATGAAAAGGGAAAATAATGAAAAAGAAAAAGAAGAAGACCAAGGAAAAGAAAAAAATGATGAAGAAACAGAACAACAACACTACAAACAACAAAAACAACATCAACAACAAAATCAAAGAAAATCAACAATAGAGAAAAGCGTGGAAAAAAACAAGAGAGAAGAAAGAAAAAAGATAAAAAGAAAGGCATGAATCACTGAATGGAGAAATTCAATGAAGAAAAGATAGGAAGAAAAATAAGATGAAGATGAAGTAGAAGGGGAAGAAGAACAACAACAGCAAGAGTAAGAACAAGAGCAAAACGAGAACAAGACAAAACAAGAAGAACAAGAAGAGGAAGAACAAGAAAAAGAACAACAAGAAAAAGAACAACAAGAAAAGGAACAAAAACAACGACAAGAAGAAGACGAACAAAAACAAGAAGAACAAGAGAAACAAGAAGAACAAGAGCAAGAACAAGAACAACAAGAACAAGATCAAGAAAAACAAGAAAAAATAAGAAAAACAACAAGAAGAAAAACAAGAAGAAAAACAAGAAGAAAAACAAGAAGAAAAACAAGAAGAAAAACAAGAAGAAAAACAAGAAGAAAAACAGGAAGAAAAAGAAAAAGAAAAAGAAAAAGAAAAAGAAAAAGAAAAAGAAAAAGAAAAACAAGAAGAACAAAGAGAAGAACCAGAACAATAAAAAGAACAACAACAATAATAAGAATAAGAGGTCAACACTATAAGGGCTTCCAGATTTATTCATTATTAGTGAATTCACAGTAAAGGTCGCAATTTTTAAGGCTCTTGAAGATAGCTGTGCATACCTCACAGCCAATTAGACTTTGATTATCGATTACTTTGCCTCACTATTTATAAAGGCAAAAAATAGAACTTAATTAAAATATACAATTATTCGAACCCACAACTACAACGTTCTATTATGCTGTCGATCCTCACTGATTGAGCTAACGATGGGTTGATGAAAGGTGGGTTTGCATGATGAATATAACCCTAACACTAACCCTAACGGTTACCATGTGCGCAAGGGCAGGTCTAGCAGGTCTAAGTATTTATGAAAGAATCTTGGAGCCCATATAGTGTCTACCATAATAAGAGGAACAAGGAGAAGAACAAGAACAAGAACAAGAAGAAGAAGAAAAATAAAAGAATAAAAACAAGTAGAAGAAAAACAGGAACAAGAAGAGGAAGAACACGAACAACAAGAACAACAACAAGAACAACATGAAGAAGGAGATCAAAAACAACAAGAGGAAGAAGAATAAGAACAAGAGAGAGAACAAGAGGGACAAGAACAAGTAGAAGAAAAAGAACAAGAGAAAGAACAAGACCAAGAAGAAGAACAAGAAGATCGAAAAGAACAAGAACAAGAACAAGAACAAAAAGAACAAGAAGACAAAAAGAACACGAAGAACAAAAACAAGAACAGGAAGAACAAGACTAATAACAACAACAACAAGAGAAAAGGAGGAATGAAGAAAAAGACCGAGAAGAAAATTGCGCTTCGCCAGGGAATCAGAAAAAATAAAGACAGCACCATATCTCGCAAATGGGACTACACACACACAAATTAAACATGATTATCCATGGTTTAAGTAATCTACATCCGCAATCAAATTACATAAGCTGTAAACTACACCTTTAGTATATTCACAAATACACACTTTTAAACCTAGCACGTATTTACAGCAACAAATTCGTGCGAGAATGCGAAAACTTACCTAAAATCAGACGTAGCAACGCCACAAGCACACGACACTGAATACCAATACATACAGCTGTATCTCAGATCAGACCGCGCGCTTCGCAACAGGTGGTAGACGATTTGCGTTATTTGTATACGGATATACCTCGAGCGCAGATGCGTGAACGTGAAGTGGGGGGAAAGGCGCCACGGCATAACATTTTTAGTACAGTGGACAAGCGGTCTGGCGCCATCTCTGTGTAACGAATTGTTCATTGGATGGTCGAGTTTTTTTTTCATATTTATTTTCTCCGCCTATCAAGCGCAGATCCAGGATTTCTTAGGGGGGGGGGGCCCAAATTTGAAATTATGCGAGCCAAATATTGGTACGTAATGGTGACACCGGCAGTGGCGAAATGAGGAAAAACGTGTTAGTTTTTTTTTTCGTGTTTTTTTTGTTGTTTTTTTTTTGGGGGGGGGGATGACCAAAAAATCCGCACCACCCCACTCTTACATGCAGACCCCGCTAAACGTTTCTTCTAAGTGGGTGGGGTGGTATTTACGAACAGGTAGAGCGTAGCGTAAATTGGCGTGTGGTCTAGGGGTGGAGCCTCCAGATGCTCCGCCCCCTGGACCCCACACCAATGTGTGTCCTGCCAGTGTCACAAATAAGGTATCAAAATAATGCTCATCTGATTGTAATTAAATGCCTATACCCCCTGAGCTTCTGGAGTTTTATACATTAAGTTACAATCAGATGAGCATATTGTAATACCTTATTTGTGATACTGGCAGGTCACGAATTGGCGTGGCGTCTAGGGGCGGAGCCCCAGCAGCTCAAGGGTTTAGGCATTTAATTACCATCAGATGAGCATACATGGGCCCCACCTTAGGGCCCCTGGCGGGCTCGAGGGGGCGGAGCCCCGGAAGCTCTGGGGTTTTAGGCATTTAATAACGGTCAGATGAGCATATTTTGTTACTTTATTAATTTTGTGACACTAGCAGGACATTGATTGGCGTGAGGTCTAGGGGGCGGAGACCCCATAAGCTCACGGGTTTTGAGCAGGTGGGGTCCAGGGGGCAGAGTCACGGGAAGTCAAGGGGTTTGAGCAATAAATTACGGTCAGGTGAGCATATTTTGTTACCTTAATTTTGTGACACTAGCAGGACATTGATTGGCGTGAGGTCTAGGGGGCGGAGACCCCATAAGCTCACGGGTTTTGAGCATTAAATTATAGTCAGATTAGCATCCAGGGACTTGTCTTAAGGCCCTAGGTGGGGTCCAGGGGGCAGAGTCACGGGAAGTCAAGGGGTTTTGAGCAATAAAATACGGTCAGATGAGCATATTGTAATACCTTATTTGTGACACTGGCAGGTCACGAATTGGCGTGGGGTCCAGGGGGCCGAGCCCCCGGAGGCAAAGGGGTTTAGGCATTTAATTACCGTCAGATGAGCAAAGTTTGACACCTCAGTACTTTGTGACAAAGGCAGTTCACTATTCTTTTTTTCTTTCCTTAGGAATTTGCCATTTTTCAACAAACGTATAAAAAAGTTAAATTTACTAAAGATTGAGAAAAAATCTCGGAAAATTATGTCATTTCAGCAACATTTGTAAATCTCCGGTATCGAATTAGAAATAACCATGTTTGAGGCAAGGGCCTTTCGCCCCCCCCCCCCCCCCCCCCCACCCCCGATCTACATGTTGTTGGTGGGATTAATCGTTACTGTTCTCCCCCTTCTTTTCACCCTTTTCTTTTCTTCTTCCACTTTTTTGTTCCCCTTTAGCTCTCCTCTTACACTTTCCCTTCCTTTCTCCCGTTTTTTTTTTTTTTTTTTTTTTTTGGGGGGGGGGGGGGGTATGCAAGGGTCTTCTGCCTCCCCCCCCCCCCCGAACTACAACTCGTTGGGGGTGCAACTGATATCACCCTTCTTTTCTTTTCTGCTTCCTCTCCTTTTCCTTCCTCTTATCTCCTCTTTTCCTTTTTTCTTTCACTCTCCTTCCTTCTCTCTTTTTTATGGGAGGGGGGTTACAGATGGGAGGCAAGGCCCTTTCGCCCCCCCCCCGATCTCCTTCTTTTTCCCCCCTTTGTTTTTCTTCTTCCTCTTCTTTCTCTCCTTTTTCATTTTCCCTTCTTTTCCTTCTCTCTCTTTCTCTTTTTTTGCGGGGGGGGGGGGCAAGACTCGCTCGGCTCCCCTGGATCCGCGCCTGAATGCACTGTTTTGCTGTTTTTATTTATATATATATCATGGATATATAGTACTTAATCCACCGAACTACACGATGATGCTGCGATCCGATTTTACAAAGAAATAGCGATTATAAAAATTATTAGATAAAGAAATCAAAACAAAGATTATCTCCCGATTTAATTTCTAAATAATGAAAGGAATAATAGCAACAGAACCTTTGGCGCGTTTATAGAAGAAAAAAAAAGTCGAATCGCAGTCAGAGCGTATAGTGCGCTTTAAAGGCTTGGCCGTTGTCGATTTGCAGCAATTAATTCAAATAAAATACACTGAGGAAATGAAAATGTGGTTTTGAGCTTCGATTTAATCATGATTATGATACACACATTTGTATTGTATTTTAAGAGCAGGGAACATTAACAACAGATCAATGATGATAAAGAAGGGAATGTAAAACAGGAAAGGAAAAATGAGAAAAAGGGGAAAAGAAGAGGAAAGCAGAAAGCATTCTGCAACACTATTACTTTCGAATGTCTGTGCTTACATAAAAAACAAAGAACACTTAAACCGAATATGATTTGATTGGGAAAACAGTCGACCATGTAGTATCCTGATAACATGTAAAGACAAATCTATCTAGAATTTTTAAAAACACATTAAAAATTCTGCACTGTAATTATTTGTATAAGAAAAATCAATCGTTAACATGTAAAGAAGGCACTGCCAATTCAGATTACACACATTTTAACTGTTTAATTTGAATAATAATATAATTTTACAGTGAAATTAGTAGTTATAATATGTCATTATCTGTCTATAGCTAGATATAAATAGAATTATGTCAATAATCGTATTGAATAACCTTTCATCTGCCAAGAGTGCTGATCGACACACTCACGTGTGTGCCTCGAGTGCTAATCGGGAAGAAAGTGTGATCTGAACTGTCTTACAAAAGCCTTGCATAATGACCAATTTCCAGCCATAATTGAATACAAGACCAACTGCTTTATGACATATATGTTTTTTTTTTTATAATTTGCACTTGAAATAGTCAAATTAACGAAAGATAAAATTACACGTCCAGATTTAAAGTATAGAACATGGATATTATGAGAGTGACACACAAAGAGTTGTTTAACATCTACTTGTAATCTGTTGAATTTGAATCATAAATCATCGTCTAGACGTCGCCACAGAACGTCCGTAGTCGGACTTGGTTCATACTTGGAAGAAGCAGATTGTGATGAGGCAGCGCCATCAGACTCCTCCTCTGAACTAGATCGCTTCTGCCGAGTCGGAGTCTGATTCAGATCGCTTCTTGCGACCGGAGTCAGCAGACGCTGCTGAGGCGACAGATGCTGCTGAGGCGGCAGACTCTGCTGAGGCGGCAGACTCTGCTGAGGTCGACTCAGCTGAGGCCACAGACTCAGCTGAGGTCGACTCAGCTGAGGTCGACTCTGAGGAATAGAGAAATAATGATACAACATTAAAGTCAGGGATCTTCTGTCTGTTCACGTGTAATGTATGTGAAAATGGAATGATACATGGCTTCGCTTATTCATGTTAATACGCGCGAGAGGAATTGTTTTTTTTTCTTCTAACAAACATAATGTATTGAAAGATTATGACAAACAAATTGTCGAGTCTATTATACACTACTAGGCTTTTTCACATAATTATGCCTTTATAAATATATATATAATAAATAATAATGCTAGTGGGTTCTTGTCCCGACTGCCATTACAGCGCTCTAGCATTTCAGGAATTCATTCATGCCAGGTACCATAGATATGTACAACTATTTTCTATTTTTTTTAATTGAACGAACGAATAGAACGCACAACAATGGTCTTATGTGTCTTACATTATTTTTACCATAACAATGTTTGCACGTAGCGTGTTTTTATTAAAGGCACACTGTCCTACTTGTAGCTACTTGCTCCCTCTATATAGAAAACTTCCAAAATCGGTGCCTGTTGGTCCCCCATGATCCTCTTTTTCTTATGTTAAATGAGAGCTGAGTTAATGAGATAGCCACTTGTCACACTGACCTTGCTGGCTCGCTGTGTGGTAGTAAAGCCTACCTTTAAGGCACACTACAGTACACGATTCGACTGCGATACGATTTTTGAAAAAGTTTGAATTGAAGGACAAAATATTCTTGTGCCTTGTGAATGACGTTGTTTTGTTGCATATATATATATATATAAAAGAATAAAAAGGGGTTAAATAGTAGTCATCAAATTAGGTCTGAATAGTCATTGAATAATAAAATCTAAATTTCAGGTGATTTCAAACCTTCCCGGAGGACAGGCCAATCCGACTCATAATCACTGTGAGCTCAGATCAGCTTTGAACACGCTGTTATGCATTCTCATTTAAAAGTGAAATGGTGCTACTTTGACATTTTACAACGTCATCATTGTGTGAACAGGCTTCTCCCGAATCATCGAGTCATCGCGTCGGGTTGGGGGTCGCGTTACCCGACCTTTTGTGAAAACATGCCACGTTATTGACGGGGGTAATGTTTGTGAAATAAACACCTCTCTTCTACAAATCGCCTGTTCCAATTTACCCGACACTTTGTGAAAACCCTACAGCAAACGCGATGACCCGATGGTTCGAAGTAAGCCGTGTGACACGGGGCATTTAGGAGAGTTTAAACTACTTACGTGCTTCAGAGTGTCCTATGCTCATCAGGAGACAGAGAGACACGATGAGAATGATAGACATCTTAAAAGTGTTCATCTGTTGAGAAAAAAATTGAACAAATGAAATGGTGATTACGAGTTCAGAAACAAAATGAATACGATACAGGCTCGGAAGTACAGCTCCAGTAGTTTAAAGGAAGATTATTTATTTAAGGACATTTTATATTAGCTATTCTCTCAGAGGCTGGGTGACCCTATTTAGATTAAAAAACGAAATTAGCAGCACATAGAAAAAAACGGAACAAACTAAACTGGTGTACGAAGTCATGCACATGGCGCTTAAATACTCATGCGCCGGCGACATGACTTCAATGTCACATGATCTTATTAGATAATCGGGAGGGCCCTTACGCAGACAACCAATTAAAGATAGAATTTAATTATGGGATGATTCGTAAGCCACCCGACCTCGAGATTAGTTCAATCTACAAATCAAGAGAGAATTAAGTTATACATTCAATTAAATATAACCAATGACAAAGCACAATAGAGTGGTTCTGACTGCGTAACGGTGAAAGTAGGAGGAGCCTATAGAGCCCCGCAAGAATGTTCGATAACCGGAAAAAACAGTCTATTGTCTAACGTGTTTATCGGAAACAAACACCTGTAAATCTTATGCAGAAATTCAAGTCCAGGGGTTGTTTACCCGTACCTGGCATACTATCGGGGACATCATTAATTCTGTTCAACTTTAAATGTATACAAAGTCAAACTTATAAGCATACAAAATGATCAACTGATCTCAACTCTTCTATTGCTATAGCGCCCCCTTTAGGTCAATGTTTTGCCCAAATCAGCGTAGCACTATACGACATTAAATGACAATGCTTATACTGCTGCTACTACTATTACTACTAATAATGGCACTGTAGCAGTAATAATGATGATGATAATAGTATAGGAATATTGACTGCCTTGAGGAGCACGGTTAAAACTATTGCCCGATGCGATCTTGTTACGAGCAGTAAAGGGCAGTCTCGAGATCACCGAGGAGCCATAGTTTTAACCATGTCACGAACAAAATAATAAACAGTCAATATTTGTTTTAGATACCGAATATAAAGTGTAAATAAAAAAATAAAAAAGAGATATCTTAACAAAACATGTCTCTTGAAGAGTATTCGTTCATGAGTCAAAGGTTGATTTCCCAGTCTAGCAGCAATGCGCGTGTCCCATTGTTAACTACACACGCCACGATTCTGTCCTTACATTAACTGCATTTACACACAAAAAATACTTTTACCCACAAGCCTCGAAATGCTACCGTTCACGTCAAAAAGAACTGCATGTAAAGTGTTTGCAACGTCAAAATTACACCACTGCCTTTTCTTGTGAAAGTTTGACCCAAATTTTGGCATAACTACTATCTAGAATAAGGAGCATTAGTGAACGTATACTATCTATTTCAATCGTTGGACGGTTCCATCAAGCGTTTATCCATTTAACAGTTATCCATTCATGCGCGATTTAGTTGATTATCAAATCGATGATTTATGTATGATGATCATGCAGGTCTCATCGTGTCTACTTTACCAACTCATCTCAACTCTACTCAAATCTGATCAAATCAAATCAAATCAATTTCACTAAAGCAAAATTAAATCAAATCAGATATGATCAGTTCAAACCAGATCAAATCAAATCGATGGAATCAAATCAAATCAAATTAAAATCAAATCAGATCAAATTAAGCCAGATCAGACAAAATTAAACCAGATCAGACCAAATCAAAAAAAAGTTTAAACAGATAAAATTAGACCAGGGTCCTGTTTTATCATGAGATTGATTCGACTCAATCGTAATTTAGAATTAATCGCAACTGTGTACTTAAAAGGTAGGAGTTGCGATTATTTTCAAGATGTGATCGATTCGAATCAATCGTATATCTTCATAAAACGGGCCCTGATCAGACCAATTAAGGTCATACCTTGTAATATAAAATCAAATTAAGTTAAGTCAATTGAAGTCAAAACAAATCAAATCAAATCAAGGCAATTCAAGTCAATTCATGTCAAGCCAAATCATATTAAATCAAAAACTCACTATGATGATATCAGAGTATTTAACTTACGATGCTTTGAGTTGTTGAACGTCTGGTGAAACAGAAAAAACGAGACAAGAAGTGAAGAGCAGTTTAGCAATGACTAATGACGAAACTTAGCTATGTTCGAAAAGCAGCTCTTACTTATAGGTTTTGAACGGAATAATGTCTTGAATGAATTGTACAAATAAAATAAACGGCATAACAACACAATTTTACCAACTAATTGGATTGCGTTACTTCATTGATAGTGCGCGACTACAAACATATATTCATGTTAGTAAATTACCCCACACCTTTTAAAATAAGCTAATTAAACATAATCTGTGGTGACCGAAGCACAACAAATAAAGAGCTTTCTTTTATTTAATCAGGTTGACAAACGCCCATTCATTAATTAAATATCCTCAATTTATTAGATCGACAAACGAACTGTTTGTCAAATGGGTTCGCTTTATTTATTCATTGTCATGGCCAATATTTAACTTTAATTTTTTTTAAATCATGAAATGATGGACTTTCGATCATGTGAATCAACCTCAATCAACCGGATTTGTGAAACCACGAGACTCTCATGGCCATTTGTTGCGTCATCTGCCCCACTGTTGCGCATCCATTTCTTTAATGACGGGCAGGGACCTTTTTATGTTCATGTTTATAAACTTTCCGCAAGCAGATTCCTCGGATATATTTTGTTGTAGTTGAAGCAGTATACGAAAAGGGTAAAAAGAAGAATAAGAAGTAGAAAAGAAGAAGAACAAAAAAGAGGAGGGAGGAGAAGAAGAAGAAGAAGAAGAAGAAGAAGCAGAAGAAGAAGAAGAAGAAAAAGTGGAGGAAGAAGAAGGTGATGAAGAAGAAAAAGAGGAAGTAAAGTGTTAATACGCAAAGCACATACACACATACTGTTATACAGTCATTATACATACACAAACATTACGTAGTCTTTGCTTTTAAGTTGTAAGACAGTAAAACAATTAAAAGGTGAACTAACATGAAAATAACAGCCGTCCGCATATAAAATAAATTAAATCACCACCACGAACAACAACAAAAGCAACAACACCACCCACTACACATTTTACCCAGGGTAGGCTCTTAATATTGGTACTAAAATATTGTTCTTTTTGAGTGCCCTCCAATATAATTACCATGCCTTTAGCTGAACTGCCATTACAGTGCGCTCAAGTAGACTAGGTGTTTCTACCAACCGGATACCCATTAACATCACCCGGGCAGAGAGTGGTAGATGTCTTGTAAAAAGGACACTGGATTCAAACCCCATTTAATAGATTAATGATTACGTACTACAACACACACCACAACAAATGAATATGTTTACACACCATTTTGATTGTCATTGATATATTATTTTCCCCTTTTTCCTTCTTAATGTTATAAATTATAATTTTTTAAGAAAGCATTCCTATAAGTTTTCTTGCCTCTACTAGCTCCTCGGACCTAAATTACTGTTGTTTCATTTTTCACTTATATTAAAGATGGTGATCATGGTAATGTTGCTGCTGATGATGATAATCGCTTCTTGTATGCCGCCGGTTTCCGCCTCTGCTAGGCGCTCATGGTGCTTGCTCTAACGTCTCACAAATTCAACGTTCTTGGTCAGCTGTTATTCAAATTGAGATTATTTTCCATTAGTATTTGTTGGCATTAGTGTTATTCTTGAGATCATGTCGTGGCTTGGAACAAGACAGTCTTGAACGTTGATATAGACTCGGCACCCCTGATTTATTATGGAAGGTTATTCAACAGCTTAGGTCCAGAGAAGTAGAATGATCGGTCACCTCAATTTGTATTAATACAAACACAGATGCCCTCTTTTCATAAATCGATTTTGAGAATAAGATTTACTCGAGATAGACAATGTCAAAATCGATTTTGAGAATAAGATTTACTCTAGATAGACAATGTCAAAATCGACAACATTTTCAAATGTGGTCGAAGTGTTTGAGTAGCTAATTAAGATGACGGTGATAATAACAAACAACCTTTTTAATTAATATTTTGACTCTATAATCCTGTGTGTTTTATTTCAAAAGGGGGTCGAGGTTAAAAAACAAATTAATTAATACGAATAACGTTAATAATAATCGACTTTTTTTTTTCATTGGTTAGCAAATAAGGGAAATTTGGTCTCATTCAACAAAAGGTGGTTGCGCTCTACTTGTTTTGTGTCGAGGTAAAAAACCATTGAAGTAAATGATCCCTTTCGATATGCAGACGGATGTGTCATCGGGATATGTTGTCATCATCATACTGTTATTATTCATTTCGTAAATATGAAAAGTATTTGAAGTGACGTATGAGTCCGTTCCGAGCATCATAACAATCAAGCGCTTTATGGAGGTGAGACTTCGAAATAAACAGGTTTCATTTTAGGGCGTGCTAAACATAATTTAAGCATTCAATGGCATCTTAAAGAAAAACGTTTAAAACTGTAGCAGTCCCTCCGCGAATCTCTAATTGGCAGTAGGTCAGTGGATTCCGACCGTAGGCGCTATTTGAAATTGATCAAAATTTACCGGGAGCACCGGTAATATTCAATTTTTCTCGAAAACAGAAGTGTTTTAGAGGCTAAATTTTCTAGTGCTTTTAATACATCAACAGGGGCATCCAAATATATCAAAATTGTAAAGAATCACTATCCACCCATTTTTCAAAATTTCCCCCGAACTTTGTATAAATTATTGTTCTTTTTGAGTGCCCTCCAATATAATTACCATGCCTTTAGCTGAACTGCCATTACAGTGCGCTCAAGTAGACTAGGTGTTTCTACCAATCGGGTACCCATCAACATCACCTGGGTAGAGAGTGATAGATGTCTTGCCAAAGGACACTGGATTCAAACCCCATTTAATAGATTAATGATTACGTACTACAACACACACCACAACAAATGAATATGTTAACACACCATTTTGATTGTCATTGATATATTATTTTCCCCTTTTTCTTTCTTAATGTTATAAATTATAATTTTT